ACTTATGACGACCACCACACAGGCTACGCCGCGGCGACCACCACCCCAGGCTGCCTTATGACGACCACCACAGTATACACCCTTGACGACCACCACACAGGCTACACGCCCCATGACGACCGCCACACAGGCTACACTTGCAATGACCACCACACGGTATACATAATCACCATACTCATCACCACCACTCATCACCACCACCACACGTCATCACCACCACCATACGTCATCCACCACCACCACACTTATCACCTCCACTACCACATCACCACCTCACACACATCATCACCACCACACTCCACCACCACCACCACCACCACCACTCCTCCCACCACCAGACGTCATCCTACCACCACCACCCTCCCGGCCATCACCACCACCACCACCACCACGCCACCACCACTCATCACATCACCATCCACTACTACACTCATCACCTACTACATGCACCCTTATACCACCACACACATCACCTCCACCACCACACACATCACCTCTACCAGCACACACCATCAACACCACAACACTCACCACCACTACCACCACCATACTCATCACCACCCTCCACCACCACACACATCCCACCTCTACCAGCCCCACCATCAACAACACAACACTCTACCACTACCACCCTGTCACTCATCACCACCTCCACCACCACACACATCCCCACCTCTACAGCCACACACCTGCCATCAACACCAACACACTCACCACCACCACCATGCTTGTCCACCCTCCAGCCACCACACACATCACCTCTGTACACCATCAACACCCTTACTCACCACACACCACTACCACCACCCACCACTCATCACCACCACCACCATCTCATCACATCACCACCACTCCACTCGTCATCATTAAACAATCGTCACCTCCACCACTCCATCACACCACACCACTCACATTATCACCCACCACGTCACACACATCCACCACCCCTCACTCGTCATCACCCACCAGACACATTATCACCACCACACACATCACACCACCACCACACACATCACCACCACCACACACACATCACCACCACCACCACACATCACCACCACCACCACCACACACACACACCACCACCACCACACTTATCACCACCACCACCACACATCTACCACACATCACCACCACCACACATCATCACCATCACTACCACACTCATCACCACCACACCACATCACCACCACCACACACACACATCACCACCACCACCACCACACACACACACACCACCACCCACCACTTATCACCACCACCACCACCACACACACATCCTACCACCACACACATCACCACCACCACACACATCATCTACATCACTACCACCTCATCACCACACACATCACCACACCACCACACACACATCACCACCACCACACCGCACATCACCACCACCACCACACATCACCACCCACCACACACATCACCACCACCACACACATCACCACCATCACTACCACACTCATCACCACCACACACATCACCACCACTCACTCGTCATCACCACCACCACAATCATGACGTTATAACCAATTATGTAAATGAAAATCCAGAATGTAAACATCGTATGACGAGCCAGAAACTCTTAACACACGTCTTACTAACCCAGCCCCAGTTAGCGTAAGAGGTCAGTCAAAACAGAGACCCACACGAGAATGACACTACACTAAAATAGAACTATCGGGGAAATTTTTTATTCAGTGAAATTATTAGAAATGAATAAAAATCAATAATTATGTAATGTGGTTAGAAAGAAAAGGAAAAAAAAATACTTAGACACAAACAGATAGCGAGTAAATTTTTAAGGCGCTGTTAGAGAAGCCGTATTAGAAGTGATGACTGTTATCATGTGACTCAGAGCCCGTCCTTGTTGTTCAGTTGGTAAATATCTGAAGAGAATTATAGTGTCTGATTTTGTATGTTGATTATAAGGGCAAAACTTAATCTAAAATAACTAATTTAATTTTAGCTAACCTAAATTAACTCCCTGTAACAACCTAATTTAGCCTAAACGATTATAGGGTGACAATGAAGCCATGAACTCATTTTAATCAGTAACAACTCATTGTAATTAATGTCTGCTGTAGGAATTTTCAGATGACATCAAGGACTAAGTTTTGGAAAATTTAACCTCATCTTCAAAACTAAAGATGGACAAATGGAACGGTATGTTAAAAGCTCACAGGACAACTGGCAGTGTAAGCAAATGCAAAAGTTCAGGACGAAGAAGATCAATAAGACCTGAAGAAACAATTGAAAGAGTGAGAGAAGCATGAACAGGGTAAATGTGCGTGCGATCGTGAGGAAGGATCTTACTCTGTACCCCTACAAAATACAAGTGTTTCTCAACAGTTGAAACCAACAGACCATTGAAGTCGACTGGCATATGTAACACTAGCACTGGATTTTCGAAGGGCAACTCAATTTTTGGGAATTTGGGCAAAAACCTCATAATGCCTAATGGAGTACATTTTCACTCTCCTGTACTGTACTGTACGTCAACAAACAAAACTGTCTAATATGGAGTAACACAAATCCACAGGAAATCTACGAAAAAAACTTTACACAACCAGAAAATGACAGTCTGGTGTGGTATCTCAAAATCTTGGATAATATGACAATGATCACGGGGAAACTGTGATCGCGAGTGGTAATCGGTGCCGCGCAATGCTGAGAGATATTTAATTCCTGAATAACGTCACTGCAACCCAAACTTCAGTGACATTTTCTTTCATCACAACTAATGCAACAGGCAAATGTTGCAAGGGATTTTTCCAAATCACGTCATTTCAAGATTTGGGGACGTTCCCTGTCCACTTGACCTTACAACTCTTCTGAAACACTTCAGTGAGTTATGGATAACTTCTCCCGTTGCTGTGACTGCGTACGTTCTAACGGAAGTTAACTGACTTAAGTAATTTTTAAGAAATGAATAAGTGTGAATGCCACCAATATTTCCAGAGTGTTCTTCTACATTATTGCCATCCCGAACTTATACTATCAAAATAAAACAATTAATCAACAATACAAATGTGTCCATGAATTGTCACCCTGTATAACTTAACCAAATCTAACTGTAACTTAACCTAACCAAAGTTAAATAGCAGAACCATTTACCATCATATAGCACCTGCTGTAACCGGTTCAGAAAAGCATACGATTATATCTTAAGACAGAGATTAAACGCCCCAAAATTAACGACCTTGGATGTAACCATTAGTGTTGGTGTACAGTTGTGTACAGCGAGGTGATGTAACCATTGTGTACATATACTTGTACGACCAATATTGTAAATGTGAACCATAAAGATTTACCTGGTAGCTGCTGTTTCTCACTCTTAATCTTGATACTGTTTAAAATTTAACAATTCCTATACGTTCACGCGTGAGCCAGACAACCAGGAGGTGGCATCCACGGTACAACTGTGAACCAGGCGACCAGGAGGTGGCACCCACGGTACAACTGTGAACCAGGCGACCAGGAGGTGGCACCCACGGTACAACTGTGAACCAGACGACCAGGAGGTGGCATCCACGGTACAACTGTGAACCAGGCACCAGGAGGTGCACCCACGGTACAACTGTGAACCAGGGCGACCAGAGGTGGCACCCACGGTACAACTGTGAACCAGGGCGACCAGGAGGTGGCACCCACGGTACAACAGAACCAGGCGAGGTGGCACCCACGGTACAATCAGAACCAGGCGACCAGGGAGGTGGCACCCACGGTACAATCCAGAACTTGAAAGTGACCAGGAGGTGGCACCCACGGTACAACTGTGAACCAGGCGACCAGGAGGTGGCACCCACGGCCAACCGTAGAACCAGGCGACCAGGAGGCGGCACCCACGGTACAACTGTGAACCAGGCGACAGGAGGTGGCACCCACGGTACAACTGTGAATCAGGCGACCAGGAGGTGGCACCCACGGTACAACTGTGAACCAGACGACCAGGAGGTGGCACCCACGGTACAACTGTGAACCAGACGACCAGGAGATGGTACCCACGGTACAACTGTGAACCAGGCGACCAGGAGGTGGCACCCACGGTACAACTGTGAACCAGGCGACCAGGAGGTGGCACCCACCGTACAACTGTGAACCAGACGACCAGGAGGTGGCACCCACGGTACAACTGTGAACCAGACGACCAGGAGGTGGCACCCACGGTACAACTGTGAACCAGACGACCAGGAGGTGGCACCCACGGTACAACTGTGAACCAGACGACCAGGAGATGGTACCCACGGTACAACTGTGAACCAGGCGACCGGTGGCACCCACGGTACAACTGTGAACCAGGCGACCAGGAGGTGGCACCCACCGTACAACTGTGAACCAGACGACCAGGAGGTGGCACCCACGGTACAACTGTGAACCAGGCGACCAGGAGGTGGCACCCATGGTACAACTGTGAACCAGACGACCAGGAGGTGGCACCCACGGTACAACTGTGAACCAGACGACCAGGAGATGGTACCCACGGTACAACTGTGAACCAGACGACCAGGAGGTGGCACCCACGGTACAACTTTCAGTTTCACTAGACTCGGTAACGCTTCAATACTGCAACATACTTTCCTTTTCGTATTTTAAGTTATTTTCCTCCTTAATGATTCACTTACGACACTTCATAAATATCAACAACTAGTAAGCGTCACTTCACTTTCAATAACTGTTAACTTTCCATCAACAGCTGCGGTAACATATTTTCTTAACCTCAATATCCACCAGACACAAGACACTTATAATTTTCTAATTTGGGAAATGTTCTAACAGTGACTGTTCAGGTTCAGTCGTAGAGTAAGTATTTTCTTCACATAATTGCATCATTACGTTTATTAAGAAATATCTGCTCAATATGACGAATAAAGCACATCGACACATATTAGCAGGCAATAGTTACCAGTCAACAGTTAAGATAATACAACACAATGCAATGTTGACCTCTAGAAATATAATCAATATTAAAATTAACTAGAATAAAGTTAAACTTTTAGAGTGGCGTGATACAGCAGCGAGAGCGAAGAAACCCACTTGCACACCCGACTACAGTCATGACGGTACTGAGCCGAAAGGTGAGGCTACTGGGCCTGGCCCGCCACACACCTCTACACAGGCAGGACTTCCACTAGCAATGGTCCGCTTTACCCTAAGCCCTAAAACAAATACAATATTAACCTAAATCCTTAATTTTGACCCTAGAATTATGCATGCGTCTGGAGTTTGATGTTGACTTTATAATTATTATTAATACGCCTCAACAACTACAGTCTTTAAAATCCTGTTCTGCAGATGAATGGATGAAGAAAAGGTCTTTAGCGACTGGAAAATAGCACATGGAAGTCCTTTACTCAAACGGTGATCCTCACTCCGCGAACAATTAAGGCCGTTGAGTTTAACCAACATAATGTATAAAAAAAAATTAGTGACCATTATACATGATGTCATGATGGAACATCTATACCTTGTATAGAATGCCAACACAGTTTTACCCCGGGACGCTCTTACTTAAGGTGCTGGATGTGTGTGGACAGTTTCTGGAGTGGGGTGGCAACATTGACAATATTATACAGTATACAGTATCTAGACTTTGCCAAGACTTTCGAAAGCGTACCTCATGAAAGGCTGAAGATTAAACTCGAAGGGTACAGAATTCTGGTGTGCTTCCTGGAATGTATCAGAAACTATTTGTGACCGCAAGCAGTGTGTGGTGATTAATGGCACGAAATCGTCATGCGCACCAGTGATAAGCGTGGTATTACATATTCTAGCAGGACAGTGTATACTAGGACCGTTGTTGTTGTTTGTTTCATAATTGATATGCCAGATACTAGACACTACCTCGTATAAATGTTTGCGGACGACGTTAAGTTATTTCGGAAAATTAAGAACTAAACGGACTGTGAAGCGCTACAGGAAGATCTCTGTCAGCTTCAGAGTTAGTCAAATGAATGGTCATACTAACAGTAAGGAGAAATATCACATCTCCCAACGTAATAAACAGCATTAACTGAGACTGAATGTGACAAGGACCTGGGTGTGTATGTCGACAACAAATTGAAGTTCTCGGACTATTGTGAAAAGAAGGTAAATCAAACAACTAAGCTAGTGGGTCTTATAAGAAGGCGCTCAGATGCCTAGAGTCGAGACATCTAGGCCCGAGACATCCCGTCCCTCATAACGCTCTTCGAAAATGAGGCGCTTCCTCGTTTGGAGTCTGTCATTCCGTCTGGTCCCTGAGATATGCTGGAAACTGTCAGTTAATTGAGAATGTCCAAAATAGGGCCACCAAACTGGCGCCTGCACTATACCACCTCAAGTACCTAGAGAGATTAGAACGCCTGCAGTGCAGCAGTTGCCTAGCTTATACTATAGACGAGTAAGGAGTGACTTAATAATAGAAGTTTATAAGCACCTCAGAAGACATTACCCATCCGAGCGTTCATACCTGGAACTAGGGAATGCCCGCTTCAAAAGAGGTCACATTCTCAGGTAAAAGAAGCCACAAGTTCGAAAAATCGCCAGGACAAACTCTTTTGGAGTGAAAGTTGTAAATTCTTGGTGTTATCGCCGCCCTCAACACGCAGTGCTATTGCAATTATGGGAGGGTGACAAGAGTAATGAGAAAAGTGTTGTGGTGTACTAAGCGAGGAGACGATGGCGCCACAGCCCAGGCCTTAAAGTGAAAACATACGGCAGGACCTCTCAACCGATCGCCCGACATGTGACCTAGCTAGATGTGTGTGGGTGTTGGCCGCTCGGGATACTTCTGGCTAGCACTGGTCAGACTCTTAGAGTGAACACACTAGCTATAACTAGGGGGTACTTGGAACGATACTAGGAGTTAAGTGGAGCTATAAGCCCGCACACGTGAGTGAGAGAACAGTGATTGTGTTGTGGTGAAATGTTGGGAACTATATACGTGCATAGTATAAAGCACTTGGATAATAACCATACAGAATAATGTATTTACTAACTGACATATAATGTATATGTAATGGAATGTAATCAGTAGTTAATGAGTGTCATTCTTTACAGGTTTTGACCATATCATTAAATACACATTGAGTGAGTCCACGTTGTGGGTTTCTTTCATACTTGGAATAACCTGCCCGACTGATGTGACGGCACCGAGTGTGAGCTCATTCAAGACCAGACTTGACCAACACTGGTGCAGGTTCAAATAAATTCAGGAGCCAGTGCATGTCCAGTACTTGCCAACAGTGTGCAATCAGCCAACATCATCCCAGTATACAAAAACAGTAGGGAAACTGCAGAAGAAAACTACAGACCGATTAGCCTAACATCCCATAATATGCAAGCTCTGAGAAAATTCTGAGGGACGCCATCATTCAACACCTGACCGAATACAGTCTTATCAACGGATCACAACACGGTTTCATGGAAAGAAAATCCTGTCTGACAATTACCCACGTTCCAGGAAACGGTAACAGACTACATGAAAAAAGGTTCTCCGTGAAGTATCACAAAGCTCTATCCTTGGACCACATTGTTTGGTGATCTACATAAGCGACATAGATGAAAATATATCGAGCCACATTGTCAAGTTTGCTGACGACACGAAGATATTTGGGAAGGTAACAAGTCAAAACGATGTCGCAACAATGCAGAAAGACCCGCACGAGCTGTTCAAATGGTCAAGAGACTGGCAATTGCTCTTTAACATTATTAAATGGAAGACCCTACACGTATAGGATACAACACTCTTAATCACAACTCTTCTGTTAATAACACTTTCCAGGATACTGTCGATAAAGAGAAAGATGTAGACGTTGTGACACTGCTGAAATTTAATAATTTTCACTGAAGACAGCGCAACAAGTGGGGGCACCATTAAAAAAAAGCGAAGCAAAATTTGGGAATTATAAAACGTACCGTAGAATACAAAGATAGCAAAATGCGCCTTCAACTGTACATATCTCACGTACGTCCCAGTCTGATTTACTGTGTACAAATATAGAAATCTTATCTCCAGAGACCTAACATCCTCAAAAAAGGTGCAACACTGAGCGACTAAGATGCTTCCGGAACTATGACATCTCAATTATCCATGTAACTGAGGGTGGAAAACGTGAACCCGGGCTTTTTCTTTGTGATGTTACGCACCTTCAACACGAATGAACATAACTGACAAAATTATCAAAAACAATGAAAGGCTCCTACACAGGCCACTGGCCTCCTTCCGTCTGCATGGCCACTTTTAGTGGGTGGCCATTAGGTAAATAAAGTTGCAAATTAAGTCGATATCCCATCATAAATATTCTCAATAGATGGGTAAACACCAGAAAATGTTCAATGAACAAGATTTAACAGTAATTTCAGGAATTTTTACTTAACGTATCTTTTATATCTTAGGGTTACCAGATTTGAACGTCGAAAAAGGTGGACAACCCGAAGAATTTTCTTATCTTCTTGGTGGGAGTGAGGGAGGGGGGGGGTGCAAAATATCCCACGTTGAATCATTGTTATACTCGTGTATTGTACACTAGTACGTTTATATCAAGTAGGCCTATCGATATTTTAGAATTTTTGTGGCTGAAAACATTAATATATGGTAATTACTCAAAATTTTCTGTAGCTTACCATATGTTTAGTGCAGATTGATCATTAATTTTCTTTTCCTTGATGTGCCCATGTATATTTCTCTGTAGATCGCATCATTCTCAGCAGTGGTTGACTGCTCATTAAGAAGGCATGAAGTCTTCGCAGGAAATTTCTCTGAAGTTGTACTGTACAAGCAGAAGTCCTTTCAGTTACTCAACTGTCAACTTATTTCTCTTCTTTGTCCACTGGCTTTTCATCACTGAAAAAATCCTCTCTACATTTGCATTGTGAGCAGGTATAGCAAAGAAAAACTGTGCACGTTTCAACAGCTCTGAATGACGATCAATGTTCTGGGACCTTTCAAAATATTTGGTCTACTTCTGATGTGCTATAAATAAAGTGAATTCTTCATCACTCTTGTGACTTTCTGTAAATTTCTTCGGATTGCTAACTTCATCAAAACATTTCACGTCATCAATTGGCACTCCCTTATTAATCAGATATTTGATACATGATTCCACATCAGTCGAGTTCGGTGTTTCACTCCGTGTCATCCATTTAAAACAAAAGTCTTCCAGGAGTTTAATCAATTTATGCAAATACTCTAAACACCTGCTGTACAGATTATCTACTTCATCACAGAATTTGTTACACTCGTCATTCATTCCTTCCATGCGCTTCTGTGTCAGAAGTCCCTTCACTTTCATAGACATGAAGCTTTAAGTCTTTCGTTCAAAGAAGGTGTGAATAAAGTTCGAACTATTCAACACTTCAACAACAGAATTGTTTTCTCTTTCAGTGGCTTGAGTGTGGCTAATTACTCGCCACTTATGGGTTTTCGAGGTCATTTCTTGGTGCTTGTGTATTATTCTGGATGTACTTATATAGTTAGGCACATTAAATTTTAGTTCAGAGAGAAAAAGTATTTTTGGCCAAAAATCCTTTGAGGCATAAGACTTACAATTTTTGTCATTTTCGACCAAAAAATGGATTTTGTTCAAAATTTCAGTATAGGTACTCCTGAATGTGCTGCTTAAGGATCTGTTAACCAAAATTTGATATCTTGATTATAACTTGTTCAAATGGCTTTTAGAAAATGTTCAAATGATTTTTAGAATATTTTAATTACTTTTGCAATGCTAATTACTCGCCACTTATGGGTTTTCGAGGTCATTTCTTGGTGCTTGTGTATCTGTTAAATTGTAGTTCAGAGGAAAACGCATTTTTGTGCAAAAATCCTTTAAGGCTATGGGCCCACAATTTTTCGTCATTTTGGCCAAAAATGGATTTTTGATTTCAAATTTCAATGCCGATATCCCTGAATGTGCTTGGGATCTGATGGCAAATTTGATATCTTGATTCTCTAACTATTTCCAAATAAACTTAGAAAAATATTACCAAATGATTTTAGAATGTTTAGTACTTTTTCTGTCTTCAATTACTCTTGCTTATAGGTTTTCGAGGTCATTTCTTGGTGCTTGTGTATTATTCTAGA